TGTGTGATGAGACAACACTGGAGGATCTTTTTTTTAGCGTCTCTCACGCGAAGACGATCCCGTCCAAAGCGGTAAAGCACCGCCAGTCTTGCGTGACGAATCGAGCCATGTCTCCGATCTCGATCGAATCCTTTCGATTCGAACTCTGCTGGTGTTCTCTGCCTTGGTCACCTCGGTTGCTCACCGCAGCAAGAAAAAGGAACAGAAAAAAAATCTTTCCCTGTCAGCAACTCCACTCTTTTCTCCATTTCCAAGGTTCAGCCTTCGCCAAAAGATTCCCATCTCGCAAACCCCATCTCCACACAAAGAACGTTTGGCCCCGTTTCTCCACGGCCCAGAACCCGGCCACCGGCCCCGCAGAGCGCAGAGCGCAGAGTGGACCGGCAGGCAACGTCCGCTTGTGGTTCCGCGGGACAAGCAAGCATCTCCAGTCTCCACATGGCCGCAACGCATTGCAGGCTACAGAGAGAGTTGTGCGCTGTCATCGACAAGTGTCCGCATTAACACGAGGGGGTTGGCCTGTGTACCTGGCATTCCCGGACGAATTTGTCTGATAACGTTCGATAATGGTGGATATCATTATAGGAGCAGGCGTATCCTAACCCCCAGCAATAGCAGTCCATGAAAGTGCCAAAAACCGGACGTCGATTTTGAAACAAACCCCATCAGCAGGTTCCTTCGACACCCCGCAATGTTCGTGACAAGAATGAGTTGTGTCGTGCCCCAGCCCGGCCCGAGTGTGACGCCAAGATATCCCCATATTAATAAACCAAACGCAGAAATTATGCACCAAAAAAAAGTTGCTTTTCCCATCTAATATTGACAACATGCCATGCCCGCTTAAACCACTTTTGATAATAAACCCGTTAGACTGAAAAGGAGAGAGACGAAAGCGAAAAGAAAAAGTCGAGAGAATAATTGAGGTAAACAGCACCGAGGGCGCAGGGGACGCGCGGACGCGCGGACGGTGCAGTCGGGGCAAAAGGACCATCCGAAAACCCCGCGCTAGCGTGGGAATGCAGACGCCCAGAGCGCCCCCCTGGCTTACCCCGGAAAGCACTGGATGTCCCAAGACCGATCAGGAAAGCCCGAGGAAACAGCGCCCCCAACAAGCTATCACCATCTTGGCCAATGTGTGGGGTAGCCGAGAGACGGATGATCTGGAGAAACCCGCTGACGGCAGCTCGGTGAAGCGACAGCTCCGAGATACTGTCATTTCTGCATGGCATCGTCCATCGTCCCATAACCCGCCCCGCGCGGAGGTTGCACTACACCCATTGCGCCAGTTCCCCCCCCACATCGAGGGACCGGGAGGGACGGAAAAGAGGTATGGGCGTCATGCAGGACAAGGACAGGTGTCACCCGAGCCCGCGCCCTCACATGACTTCGACCCAAACGGGTGGGTGCAGCCGTGTTCCGCGCCGTCCTCCCAAAGGTGGGATTTGCGGAGGACACGCTACCGCCCCAACATGGGCGTCACGAGCTCAATGCTCTTGGGCCTCGAATACGCCGCGGGCCTGCGTGAAGGTAACGGCCGGTCGGAGCTCGTCCCGTAATAATCGCTGCCGCCGCCGTAGTAGGCACCATCATAAGTAGATGCGTAGAGACCTGCGTTTTGCTTCGAGTAGGAACTGCCCGGGCTCGCCGCGGTAACGCTACGGGCGAACGGCCAGATCCCCTGGTGGTACGTCCCTACCGGTGAGGTGGGACTTGCCGGCCTGATCGACAGCGACTTGAGGGCTGCCATCGCCGATGCGGGGGTGACGGGCGGGGCGACGTGCGTCGAACTCGGACGCGAAGGTGAAGCGCGGGGTATGATGTCCCTGGGTTCTGGCGGGCCCGAGTAAAACGGATATTGGGTGGCGGTGTGACTGCTCGTGTAGTGGTTTGACACGGTAGAGATGCTCGCGCTGTTTTGGGTCATGCATGCGGCATCTGTGTCGAACGAGTGTCAACAGGATTCGAAGAAAAGCGGTTCTCGTCAAACTCACTCTTCAGAACAGTACAGGGATTGATCATCTAACGGGACGAATTGCTTCTCACAGATCATGCTGCGGACATTGGTTAGCTTGGGAGTCTCAAATGCTAGCAGAATTGGGGCATATGCAGGAACGGCAACCCCCCAGCACTTCTCCAGTGATGGGCCTGTCTCCAATCCCCTCTTTCTCCATCGCCCCCAGCTCGTCCTTCACGCTGGGAACGGTTGGGGTGACACTGATCACCCGCATGTCAGGTGACAATGCAGGAGGATGGAAACGGAAATCCCCTGGGGGGAAGCGAAAAGATGCAATGAAGCTGTGAAACGGAAGGGAATGTTGACGACATACCAATACTCTGGGAAGCTCTCACGCTCTTCATCCCACCAACGTTGTTCGTCGAGTTCCTTCTCGCGATCCCGGGGATTCTTTCCCAGTTTCGGGACGGTCTGGGGGGTGGTCCTCCTGGTCATCGAAGGACGGGATGAGTACTTTTTTTGTGAAAGGTCTGTTGCGGTGACGGCCTTTCGTACGTCTGTCAACGACGAGTTGCCGGAGATATGCCCGGATCTTCGGCGGTGGTGGTGCATTGGGGCCATCTTATAATTGGCTTAGAGCTCGGGAGAAAGAAGGAGGGGCGGGTTGCGGGGGACGGATTCGCCGGGTCCCTTAAGGTCCGGCGCGGCAGGCAGGGAGCTGCGGGCTGCACTGAGGGTCCGACTGAGGAAGAGATCTAGGACGGGAGAGACCTAGTTCCCAGATGGATGGGGTCTATTTGAGCCCGCTTCGCCGCTCAGGCCAAGGAAATAGAGTTGAAAAATTGCAGGTCTGAAAAACCAGCAATGTGCGTGGTTTCGTGCGGTGGCAAATATGTACGCTGCGGGCAGAGATTTTTCCTACCCTGTCGCGTTGGCCGTGGATTGGTGGTGTGCCGCTGCAGTCGATAGTTGCTCTCCCGCGGCTAGGGAGTGGATGGAATGGATCGTGCGGCTGTCTGGCTGAATTCGCCCGTTAAGGGGTGTAGAACGAAATTTGGCTCGGTTGCCGCCGGGTAGCAGCTTGTATCTAGACGATCGATTGTTGACGTTGTGAGACTCGTGGGTCGGTCAGGCGCCTCTTGTTCGTTCTCGAAAACGGAGCTGGTTGGCACGCCACGAGGTAATGCCGCAACAGACCGGTCAACCTGATCGACAATGGAACAGCTTCAGGTTTGTCCCGCCAGGAAGGCCACAATTGAAGCCCAAAACAAATGCCAGAATATCAATCGGGCTCTTGCAAGTGGAAAGACGAGATATGATAGCAGGGCGTTCCGTCTGTGTAACGGAGGGGTTGTATTGCACAGAGTGCCACAAGAAACGAGCGAGCAGGTGCTGATATAGAAAACGAGCGAAAGAAATCCGTGACGAGTTCCGTAAACGGGCAAGGAGATCGTCTCTTTTGTTATCTGCTTTGGATGACTCTTTTTCGCTAATCAAAGTTCGATCCCCGTCGACCCCAGAGTCCGGACGGTTCCTGGGAGCAGCCGAGAACGGAGATCATCGGAGTTGTCAGCTGGCCAATCGTCTTTCACCGATGCTGGTGCTGCGGTGAGCGATCACAGTCTGTGGTCACCAGTGCAGGTGCACCTTGCCAGTGGGGACCTTCTGTGAGCGACGGTGGATGCAGCGTAGCTACCGGGGCCAGGGTTGAGTGATGGGCGGGCGGGACTGGATTTCGTGGAGTTGAGGCTTGGGTGCCCCCGCTCGATTTCGATGTTCGTTTGGGGATCGTCTGTTACAACTAAAGCAACAGGAGGGAGTGAGGTGCGAGAGGTCCGCGTGAGGAGAGGGCTTGCAGTCCTCTTGTAGGTCACGGCCTCCCGTCTGTCACATCGATTAGCTAACATGCACTGCAGCACAGGGCATCGCAGCTGTGCTGGGAGGGGCTGAGTGGGAGGGGTGTCGCTGGGGTTGACGCCAGCAGTGTGGGGTTCCAGGTTGCTCGGGCGGGGCCTTCCCCTGTCCCTGTCCCCTGTCGTCGTCCCCGTGCCTGTCCCTGTTAGTGCCGAGCCGCCAGTATCCCGCTGTGGTCGTGATCATGTAAGCTTGGTGCAGATGGGCTGACTTCATCTGGCTGAATCCGTTGCTTTGTCAATTTTCCGATGATAAGTCCGTTGACAAATCCGTGCGGTGGGTGATGGGATCTGGAAAATGAAACTCGGATTCGGTAAACGAGCAAAGACCGCGGGCATGGCGAACGTGGTGTAAGAATGTTGTGATATTTCGCGGCCGTTCTTGGGAAATCGTGTCCTGTCTCGTCAATGATCACAGACCGAGTTACAAAGATGGTTCAACCCCAAAAGGAGAGTGCATGAGACATGATCACTGAGAAGGCACTCAGGGCGATGCTCGTACCTTCCATCCTAAAATGGAACCTTGACGGATCGCGGTCGCGAGGAATGGAAGGTGTGCGCGGGATTCAACCAATCAGGGGACAGGGCCACAGCGCCTGCCTGTCGTTTGGGGAAGCCAGGAAGAATCTTGGGCATGGAAGCTCGGCAAGCTCCCACCCACACAAGGCGAAAGCTGGTCATGGGCTCGACGCCGCGCTGCCGCCATGGGGGCACTTCTTAGCCATCACACCGGGCACGTTCCTAGCCAGTTGCAATTGCCCACCCTTCCCAGGGCACCACGAGGTCAGCCCTCACCGTTGGCCTCCGGCCTCTTGGGTCAGGAATTTCGGTGAAAAATTTTCATCGCTTCTCACCATGGCCCAACTGCCTCCATTCACTCTCCACCCCGAGCAGGGGAATTGGCTGACTGCAACGCCGCTTGGGAGAGTCGTCAAATGACGACCACCCATCACGACATCACGCCATGAGTACACTGGAGGTTGCTGGCCACGACAGGCGCCACCACGACCTCTGGGCTCCACTTTAATTCAATCTGTGAAGAAAGATCTGTCTCTTGTCTCAGGTTTTGAATCATCCTCGATCGTAACTTTTTCGATCCCGAGCCCGACCTCCTAAGTTTGTTGTCTTGAGCTGCAAGGTTGGCTCGCTGCTTGAAGGGCACTTCGGAAATTCAGCACCCGAGGTGCCGCTTCCTGAGCCAACATCATCTAAACATTTGAATTGAAGAAGACCCCGTCGCCGATCTTGATTCCTGTCCTGGCCAAAAGGATACAAGGCAACCGGAGCTCAAAGCATGGCCGTTGCATCTGTGTGATCCGCCGAGACCGCGTACCTTGTCTCATCCCATCTTCTGGGTGCGTCATCCGGTCTTTGGCCCACAGCTGCGCCCAGCAAGGTTGCGCCGCAGCATTGCCTCCCGTTGTCGAGATCGTGAGCAGGTTAGGCGAGCAATATCAAGCCGTGTGAACCATCAGGGTAATTCGTTTGGCTCTGCCCCCTCGCGTGGGGGCACCTTGATGGGTTGGTTCCACAACGCTCAAAGGATGGAAGCCACAACGGTTCACTCCTAGTTAGAGAGTTCTGGCACCCAAAGTTGCTCCCTTTCCGTTGCAGACGACAACTGGACCTACCTTGGCTGCCATTGCAAACATCCAATTCTCCCGTGTCATGGCGGCATCAACAATTGTTAATCTTCGTGCCCCAATTCACCGGCTGCAATGCGTCGGCATCGATGCCGCCCCGGCAACCCCCACCCCCTTTGAGTTGTATCCTTTCCCGCAAATCGACATGTCATTGCATCTCGGATGGTGCAAGTCGCGTCCGACCCAGGCAGGGCGTCTGCACCCTCACCCACGAAACGCAACAGCGGCTGCTGATACGGGCCGCCCGCACATGAACATGACTTGCATTCCTACCGCTCTGGGTGGCAGGAGTCAATGTCGATGAGGCGGGGTCAGGGCCACACTCGGTCTCTACCTAGGTCGGTAGATCATTCAGGACTGCAGTGTGCCTCGGGATGCGCTCCGTCTGCTTTATCCGCTAGGTTTCGACGGTCTTCGTGTCACCAAGATAAGAGGCCGCCGCAAATCGTCGGAAAGCGGGCCTTTTCCAGATTAGCCTGCGGCTCGAGTGTGAGCGAGGCAGAGATGCCACTCAGCTTCCTATCGTCCCTGAGCTGGGCACCGAATCGGTCCTTGACATGGGGTAAGACAAGTTATGCCCTAATATCCAGCCCGGGTACCGCCGGGTTTCAAAGGCCTTGAGGGGATGGACACGCACGAGTCAGGGTGTCAGTGGGGGTCTTCGGTTGACCCCCGCGAGGCCCATTCACTCTCCCGACGGATGTGCCTGCAAGACCGTGCGTCACGATACTGCAGGTACTTTCCTAGGTGGGTAGTTACTGATCGAGTGACTGATCGGATCAGGGAGCCCCTATCGCAGTCTTGAAGCCGCCAGAGATAACGTCGGCGGACCGGACGCGGGCAACTCAGTTGCAAGTCCAACACCCGACAGCATAATGCTTGACCCCCATCCGACATCTGATTCCCAAGTCCAGGCCAAACTGACTGACGGTCAACCCGACCCCGGCTTTTCTCACTCTCTGGTCAAGGGGCCTTGGATTCCAATTGTCATCACCGCTTTTGTCTGCCCTGTTTGACTTGGCTCCTTGGCTATCTCGCGTGGAGACCGGAGAGATCCGGAACAGCGCGGCTTCCACCCGCCACATCCACTTCCCGCTTCCACGCGGTACGCCAAGATGCGGCGGTCCACGGAAAATTTTAGCCAGGCAGCTGCCCCGGTTCCGGCCCCACAACTCGGAGCTTCTCCCGGAGCTCTCCAGGCAGTATCATCCCAGCCCTCCGATTTCGCACGCATCGCGAGCGCTCCTTATCTCAAGGCTCAGAGATGGCGGTCTCAAGAACGGCGCTCAGAGTAACCGGGGGCTGAAAAGCACAAAACTATACAAGAACCGCTCAGAACAGCCCCCGGGCACAACTCGGTGTGGAGTGGCTGACCGAAGGGGAGACACGGTGTGCGCCACAACCATCCCCCCCTTGCATCATCGGTCCCGACAGTCTGGTCTGCATCACACAAGCACATGCTGCACGCAGATGGATGGTGCAGTTAGCCGTGCTCATCACGCAATAGTCATCGGACTGTGGACACACCACCCGCCCCTTGGCTGGCTGACGAATGCAGACCCTGAACACTGAGCAGTACACAATAGAGTAGAGGTGTTTGTTTGTTCGTTGGTTGACTCGTCACTCGGATTAATAACCTGCGGACAGATTAATAGATTAGCTAAGCTGCGTACAGCCCTCGGCGGTTGGTTAGTCGGACCCCGATCTATCCGATTCGGGGTGATGACTCTGTGCGAGCATCGATCGGTCCGTCGGCCGTCATCGATCTGGGGCTGATCGGAGAAGGATTCGCCGACCACGGAGGGAGCCATTGCGATATCAGACGCAGTCATATGATTCGAAGGAAGGTTGTGTGTGCAGCGAGCAGCTCGGTCTTGGGCGGAAACCGACGGTGAACCCGGACTTGGTTAGGGGTATTCTAGGAAGGGTATCATTGTACGAAGTGGGTTGGAGGTATCCAAGCACCTTGCTTGTACGTAAATGAGGTGTACACTTGTGTAGGGAACCAACGGTATGCTATGGTAGCTATACCACATTGTCAACTTCTATATACATAGCAATGATATTAAATAAATGTCTTCCATTCAACGAAGGAATTCAATATTTTGACCCCATAAATCCAAAACCAAACTTAGCAGGATCAAACACCCTCGTTATTCCACGCAGTGATATCTTGCTCATTGACCGTGGTGGTATCCAACCCATCCAAAAACGCCCACAACACCCACCCCAAAGAAGCAACAACCAAAAAAGAAAATCGACAAAAAATCAAGGGTGATAAAAGGTAAGGTGTTTCCTCTCCCCACCACCCGGACTCTCCTCCCCAACCCCCCAACCGTCATCCCGCCTCGGCTCGCTACTCAACTCCTGCGGCGGCGGCCTCCACACTCCCTGCTGCTGCACCCCCTGCCCATGCGGCTGATACTGGTACGCCGAGCCCGGCGTGGCCGGCGAGTACTGGTACTGGCGGTCCCCCAGCTCCACCACCGGACTATAACCACCACTCCCACCACCACCACCACCACCACCACCACCATGCGGCAACGGCAAATGCGACGACGACGCAGGCGACGACACCTGCACCCACAGCCGACCCTCAGCATCAACCTTAGTATGCGGCGCGTCCGCACCGCTGCTGCTTCCCGCCTGCCCTCCGCCGCCGGCCGCGCCGTACATGGTCTCCGTGGGCGTGCTACCGCCACCGGCGCCGCCGCTCGAGCTCGGTACGAGGTGGGACGGTGGTGAATCCACCAGCTCATAGGCCAGGCCACCTGGCCCGAGCGCGCCCGACGGCGAGACGGGGAGTTCGGCCGGGGGGTGGTATCCGTGGCCGTGCTGGTGGTGCTGGTTGAGGAAAGGGCTGTGTGGGTAGGAGCCGGTGGGGGAGTAGGAGGTGGGGCTTTGCTGGTGGCTCCAGCCCTGGGAGCTGGCGGTGGTGGAGAGGTATTTTGTCGGGGGCTGGTGGTTGCCGTTGTGTGAGGGGTTGTTATGTTGGTGGCTGCGGCGGCGGCGGATGAGGAAGATGACGGCCGCGAGGAGGGCTGCGAAGGCGACGACGGCGCCGACGACGATGCCGGCTAGGGCGCCGGTGGAGAGTGAGCTTGACTCGTCGTCTGGGGCGCCGGTGGCGGTGGGGATGGCGCGCGTGGGTGTCCGGGCGGCGATGCTGGCTTTGCGGGTCATGAGGACGCGCAGGTCGGGGTTGTCGAAGCCTTCGGCGGGCGCGGTCTTGGTTGCGCCTCCTTCGGCCGAGCCGCCGATGGCGCTGATGATGGGGGCCGGGACGGCGTAGTTGGTGAGGTTGGCGTCGAAGATGTACCAGATGGCGTCGTCTTTGTTTTGCTGGCCCAGGTCCATGTTGTGGAGGCCGTATTGTTCCTGGACGTCGCAGCGGTCGCTGGTTGGGAAGGTTCCGCCGATGACAATCATCTGGGCGTTGTCGATGACGTTGCAGCTAAGGGAATGGTGCCGGTATTCGCCCGTTAGGTTCCCGTCGGTTGGAAACATCTTGACCCACTCGAATGAGGGGATCGAAAGGGTGTAGATATCGTCGAAGCCTCCTGTGTCAGGGGGCATACCTACGCCACCGTAGAGGTAACTGTCGCCCAAGTCAGTCTCACGGTCGATCCTTACCCTGAAACCACCACTCACATGTTGTAGCTCGACTGATCCGGAGCCCAGGTCGCTCCGGCACAGAAGCGCCTCCGCATCGGCGGTACCTGTCCGGTAGCCTCCTGGCTGTACCACTTCGAGCTGAGCACGTCGTAGAGAAATATCGTTTCCATCGGCTGGCCGACCCAGGTGCCGTTTCCGGATGGGTCTTGGACGCCACCAAAGTACACCAACATCCCCCCATCCCCGATCGGGATGAACACCATCGATCCCTCTGCCCTCCCAATCGAGTCCGGCCCTGGGTCGGTGGACCAAGTGTTCGAGTCCATGCTGTATTTCACCAAACCGGTCATGGCCTTTGGCGGGCCGTCCCAACCCGGTATGGTGTTGTTCGATTTCCATCCGCCGTAGTAGTAGCCCTCGCCTGTTTCGGATATCGAGACACCCGCGCCGTAGGAGACGGCAGCGATGTCGTGCTCGTCCGGCGACCCAAAGGATTCCCAACGGTTGTAGATGGTGTCGTATGACCATAACGTAAACTGCGACGAGGGCGGTTGCTGGTGGTATTCGCCGGCGAAGAGGTAGAACCTCTTGTTTACGTCGTCGGCCCATAGGGTGCCGCCATTGACGTCCGGGATGGTAGTGTTTTTGATGAGGTTGGCATAGAGCTGGGGCATGCGCCCGGCGCCCGGCGTATCGAGGTCATGGTACAGCAGCCCGGTATCTAAGACGGGGACTCCAGTCAGTCGTCGACGCGAGAGGGACGGGCTGCTGGGCGAGATACATACTCGAGTAGTTGGTCGGGTATTGTGACAGCGGGTTATAGTTCACAAATCCGCCATCGATGTATAACTTTCTATCGATCACAGCTGTCTGATGCCCGAACCGGCGGCAGAAGTCCTTGACAGGGTCGGGTTGGGCCGAGGAACTGTCGAGGAAGCAGAAGAGAAATAACAATGATACACATAGAGGGGTCAGACGGGATAAGCACGGGATTCGGCGCGTTCGTCGTGAGCTGTTAACGGTCCCAGGACATGCGGCCGAGGACGGCATTGCTTCCGAGGCGGAGAGTATCATCTCGGGAAGCAAACGACCCAAGCCATGCTTTTGCTGGCAGTCAGCGATATGCGCTTTCAGGCAGAAAGGAGACGATGGCAAGCGCAGACGACAGACAATACCCGTGGAGACTAATGGGGGGATAACCAAGGGAAGGAGGTTGCACGGAGACGTGGACTGGAGGTGACGACTACCTAGTTACGGGTGGCCTAGCCACCCACACTTCAAGGATGATGACTAGGCTGGCAAGCACCGAAGTTACACATAATCTTTCATCCATGGCTAGTTTCCGACCAGGTGCAGGACCTTACCAGACCGTGAGGCGACAGGAGTGGCTCGGTCATCTTGCAGGCGCCGATCAGCCTCTCGCAGCCCGTATTGCACTGGTCTTTCGAGACTCGTGGCGGGGTTTTTGTGGCGGTGAGTTGCGCACGATTCCATCCGTAAAGGATGGCAAGTCGACTCACACTGACGCAATGGGCTCCCAAGCCGGCCATTGACCGTCCGGAAGACGAGTTCGAGAGCCATGAGGCATCATCCTCGACGCAGCGGCGAGGAGCCTAACATGACTTGCTCGCTAGTTAGTTAGAGGATCCGAAAAACCGCCGTCTTCGTACGAGACAAGAAATGGTTTAGCGAACCAGGAGGCTGGTCCTGTGATTGTGTTCCCGCAGCGCGGACATGGTCCAATGGGCGGCTGACAGGATCTCAGCTTCACTGTCGATCCTCCGGGCACATGCGTGCACCCCTGTCGGTCGCGAGGTCGAGCAAGGGGCAAGAAGCAACCCTCCGGCAGTCGAATGTTGACGAAACCGTTGGGCTGGGATGCCAAGCAAGAAATGTGGGAGGACGGGGTTTATTTATTATATAGTGTAGTAGTGTAGTATATTGATGTGATCAAAAAATGGTCTTCGTAGACAGTTTCCATCTTGGGACAAGGACTCAAAAAAGTTTTGCTTGAGCTGCCCATGCCAAGTGCTTGCATTCAAAATGAGGAGAAACCACCAAGAAAGCACGAGCCAGAAGTCTTACTCTTCTTCCATGCAAGTTAATTTGCGGTGTCTTGATGGGGGAAGGAGGGGCGGGGGACAGAAGGAAGGATTTGAAGGAACTGGTATAACTATAGGTAGAAACTTCCATGCTACGAAGTAACCAAGTGGAAGAAAGGTGCGGACGTCACTTCTTTATCTATCCGTCTCAATTCCCGTCGTTCCTGCACTCCTCCTGCCCGGTTAGCCCGGTAGCCGGTCAGTTTGCCACCATGGGTCATCGCACTATCATCGGAAATGTCAACTGACGTTCTAGTGAACTACCACGTCTCAACCCGACATCCCATCTCATACACTGCGGCACATGGATTTCCAAAGAGGTTGCTTCTTGGTGTAGTGGAGTTCCGCTCACTTCGGCGGCTTTCGGGGCCCTTTTGGATCTAACTCCGCCGATTGGGACCGGCGCCTTCGGCTGCCGGGCGGGGGGGGGGGTTCGTTCGAACGTTATTCGTATCGAGGAAACCGACGAGTTGAAAATGTTGACCACTTTCCTCCAATGTGTTTCTCTCTTAGGTTCCAAACCGCGTTTTTCTCATGGATGCCTAAGCAGTCGAAGAAGTCAAAGAAGTCAAACGGACATAAATCCCAGTCATCCATTCATCATTGATGTCTCCTGACGATGCGGGTAGAGACTGAATACCTACCCCAGCAGCCTAGGTAATGCCGAGTCCGGGATTCATCAGTGGATCACCTTATCAAGCCCGAGACGACCTCGGCTAGCCACACGAGAAAGTGATCCACCACCCGATTTTGCATCTTCAATTCCATCTCAAGTGGGCCGGACCCTCCAGCACGCAATACGCAAGAGGGCGTATCATGGGACGCATGAGTGAGACGGTCAAACATCGGGGTTAACAAGATGGCGTACTTCGTAGGCGTCACGGTACCAAGAAGGGACTCTGTCCTGCCGTTTGTTACCCTTGCATGAGCCCAATACCACGGTTAAGCCAGTCACTCAGTCACCTCTTGACCTTCTAGGCTCAGCCCACGCCGCTGGGGCATTGTGTGATTACATCTGCGTATACACCATAGAGGTGTTGGCCTCGGTGGAGCCCCCGTGCCTCGCGTACCCGTCAGATCGGGAACGGAATTCGAGTTTGCTAGGGCTACTAATCACAATGATCGGTTTTCATTCAGATTCGCCTTCAGGGCAGACCAGGCCCATTGTAACCGTCCGTATAAAGTGTGGTTGACGTCTCCTGGGTCGCTACTACTCACTCTTATCAGCCCTAGTGCAAGATACCAGATCGCCGACCCCCGAATACCTAGATAACGGGTAACACGGCTACCGCCTAGGAAACCGACGTGCCGATCAGCATGATGGCCGACCCCGAATCGTCCTCTTCCTCCTTCACGGCCAAGGAACCGGTCCTCACCTCCAACAGCCCCGACGTCGAGTCCCAACAAGGCCGCAACAGCCCGTCACACTGGTTCCTGGTCTGCCACCCGGACGGCGTCACCGATGCGGTCCTGAACCACGCCTACCCGGGCCACGGCACGCCCGAGTCGCCCTACGTCGTCGACTTTCTCCCCCAGGACGGCAGCAACCCGATGCAGTACTCGCGGACCAAGAAGTGGACCATCACCCTGCTCCAGGCCCTGGCCACCCTGGCCGTGGCCTTTGTGAGCACCGCCTACTCGGGCGGCGTCTACGAGATCATCCGGTACTTTCACGTGTCGACCATCGTGGCCATCTTGGGCGTCTCGTTGTTTGTGCTCGGCTTCGCCATCGGGCCGTTGCTGTGGGCGCCTCTTAGCGGTATGATGTTCCGTGACTTGACAGGGAAAAAGGGGGGGAGGGATGGTGTGTTTGGGGGAATGATGCTGACGGGGATGTGATGACGAACAGAGTTTCACGGGAGGCAGATTGTTTTCTTTTTCACTTACTTTGGCCTGGCCGCCTTCAGCGCCGGCGCCGCGGGTGCTCAAAACATCCACACCCTCATCATCCTGCGCTTCTTCGCCGGCGCGTTCGGCGCATCGCCCCTGACGAACTCGGGCGGCGTCATTGCGGATATGTTCAACGCCAAGGGTACGTTGCCACCCTGCAAACATACCATGTGTCGTGATGCTGACGAGCCCTTTTGCAGAGCGTGGTCTAGCCACAAGCGTTTTCGCCATGGCCCCTTTCCTGGGCCCCACCATCGGCCCCATTGCCGGCGGCTTCCTCGTGAGTCCCCCCCCTTAACCCTCACGAAGCCACCCCCCACCAGAACTAACACCACCCACCCCCAGGGCGAAGCCGAAGGGTGGCGCTGGATCGAAGGCCTGATGGCCATCTTCACGGGCGTCCTCTGGATCGCCTGCTCGCTCTACGTACCGGAAACCTACGCGCCGGTCCTCCTCCGGCGGCGCGCAGCCAAACTCTCCCAACTCACCGGCCACACGTACATCTCCAAGATGGACCTCGCCCTCCGCGGCACCACCAAATCCACAACAAATCCGCACGACCCTCCTCCGCCCCTGGGCGCTCCTCTTCACCGAGCCCATCGTCTTCCTCACCGCCATCTACCTCGCCATCGTCTACGGCACGCTGTACCTCCTCTTCGCGGCCTTCCCCATCGTCTTCCAGCTCAACCGCGGCTGGAGCGCGGGCGTCGGCGGCCTGGCCTTCATCGGCGTCGCCGTCGGCATGCTCTTCGCCGTCGCCTACTCCATGTTCGACAACCGCCGCTACGGCCGCGTGGCGGCGGCCTCCCCGGGCGGGCTGGCCCCCGCCGAGGCGCGCCTCCCGCCCGCCATCATCGGGTCGGTCCTGCTGCCGGTGGGGCTGTTCTGGTTCGCGTGGACGAACGGGCCCGAGGTGCACTGGGTGGTGCCCATCACGGCGTCGGCCTTCTTCGCGGCGGGGCTGGTGAGCGTGTTTCTGAGCTTGCTGTCCTACATGATTGATAGCTATACGGTGTTTGCGGCCTCGGTGCTGGCGGCGAACTCGGTGCTGCGCTCGCTGTTTGGCGCCGCCTTCCCGCTGTTTACCACGTACATGTATCAGGATCTGGGCATCCACTGGGCGAGTACCGTGCCGGCGTTCCTGGCGCTCGCGTGCATGCCGTTTCCGTGGCTGTTTTGGAAGTATGGCGCGCGCATTAGGAGTAGGTGTCGCTATGCGGCCGAGGCGGCCGCCGTGCTGCAGAAGATGATGCAGGCTGCGAACGAGCAACAAGAGCGAGAGCAGCAGGGGCAGCAGGTGGTGGTGCCGGTGAATGAGAGCCCGGCTGTGTTGAGCGAAGATGAAGGGACTGTGGTTGGAGATGGGGAGGAGGTGAAGGAGAAACGAAAGTAGAAAAAAGGGGGGAATTTGATGATGGTTGTTGGGGTGTTCTATTTTCCTCTCTTGGGTTTCCTTTTTTTAGGTATCGAAATCGTATAGTTATCCATCCGTTTTCTTTTTTCCACCTCCCAGCGGCGTTTCTTTTTTCATCTCAGTGACGTTTCTTTTTTCATCTTCCAGTGACGTGCTTCGTTTCGTTTTCGTTCAAATCGCTCTCCTATGCGAAGTACAAAGTAGGAAAAGAGTCTTCCCCGACACCGCCGGAGCTAGTTCCGATGGCACACGACACACTTTTGTTGAGTGACAGAACATGTCTGCCTGCTCGGCGATCCCTCCCGTTACTGCAAGCAATCGTGTCAACCCTTCCCCGCAAAGTGGTACAGTGGCTGAATAAGCGTAGGTCGAGAACACGCCAATCGCCCTCGGCCTCTTCCCGCCCATGCATTGGGGCGGACTCAGAGCACATGGCCAAGCCGGCATGTTTCCGATTCGCATGCTCTTTTGGGAATGCGAGCTTTCTTAATGTACTGTTTCTCTCTCCAACGGCCCAAATATTCGTCCTTTTCCAACCCCACGGCGCTCGGCCGTCCGATATTCCGCGCCCTCACCAGAGGAACTTCCATGTCCCTACCTCCGCTCTACTACCTGTAGCCCTCTGGATCTGCCGTCGCCTTCTCGCGTTTTGAAACGTCGGGCTTCATGTCATGCCGGGCAAGGGAGCAAGAGAGACTTGTTGCTGAGGTCATTGCCACCTCTCGTGTTTCTTTCTGCCTGGCTCTTAAATTCTTGGTCGCCGATGTGAGGTGGAACTGCATGCTTTAAGAGATGCGAGGTTCGCATTTACTCTGTTTGATTTCGACTTTCGGTGTGTAGTTGTTGTGCAAGTGTGCTATTGCTTCCTCGTTTTCCCAACTCGGACATCTATCCAACTTTATTCTGTGTGTTTGTTCCCCTTGTTGTGTTGGTTGCCGAATTGTTCGTGCCACACAACACTTCCGGCATCATATCCGGTCTCCCATTCAGCTTAACTATACCCCTGAGCTACCTTTCGACACACGCCCCTGGCCACCTGAGCCGACCCGCCATCATGGCTTCCGGGCGGATCACCACATTCACAAACACGTTCCTTGTCGCCAATCATGAGCACGGAGGGCCTGTCCTCAAGGTCGTGGGACCGCAGGAGACACGCAAGAAGAGGCCGCATCGGGTATGTTCATCCACACGGGGGAGGGCTTGTATTGGTACTGGATCGGGTCCGCCCTGTGGGGGAACAAGACGGGTTTCGCCAGGGAAAGGGTATCAAAACAGACACGCTAACTTTAAGGGGGGCGGGGTGATCAGAAATCAAGGCTGGGATGTATAAGATGCAAACGGCGCAAAGTCAAGGTACGGCCCGTCTTACTTCGCCACCCCTTCTGGTCCTCCCGCGACCAAAGGGCGTGCCGATATGTAATTTGTCAGTATACTGACAGCCACCGGCTCCTACAGTGTGACGAGGGAGATCCGTGCAGGAACTGCGTCAAGCGAAAGGAGACATGCGTCCGTCTTAACCCGGTATCGACCAGTGAGGGGGTTTCGAGACACGCCGCCGTTGGCCTCTCCGCCCTTACGAGGGTAGCCTGGTGTCCGCTCTCCGAGCCCGAGTGCCGGCCCATCAATCTGCTGCACATGGAACTGCTGCACCATTTTGAGCGCTACAGCATCCCCACGCTGCCGTTCCAGGAAGTGTGGCCGAGGATGCTGCCGCTCGCCTTCCAGGTATGTACATACTCCTTCTGCTGGAGCCACCCCCTACCTTTTCTAAGTCCCGATTTGGAGTCAATATGCACATGTCAAAAGCAAGCATGGGACATATGGACCCCGTACCTAGCTAGCTATACATGATTATGGTTACACAAAAAGCTGACCTATATGACCCCCTTGCCCCCCCCCCCTCCCAC